ACACAAAAAATTCCCACACTTTTAATTAATTTTTTCTGAAGCAAAAGCTCTGTCTGGGGCCTGGAAACTTCCCCGCTGTTTGGTAACACCCCGTTCCTTCTCATCTTTTGGGGTACAGCTCCCAGAGGGGATGCCGGGAGGTGACCAAGGCCCCTTAGGCCAGCAGTGGCAGAGCGGGGAGCTGCCTCCCCCTCCCTCCCTGAGCACCCCGTGTCCTCCCTCTCCGTGGCTCCATCGAGCATCTCGCCAGCACCTTCCCTCCAAGTCTCCGCCGATGTTAATATTCCCGGAGCCGGGTAGATACAATATAATTAAAGTAGATAATACCGCTGATGTTTGTTATGACATTGTGTTTTTGTGAGTGACGAGTGAAGGGTTAACTCCAGGGAATTGGGAATATTGCTTGGCTGCTAATAACACGTGAGTCATCGATGAAATAACACATGGGTGCAGGGAGAGACACAGCACCTGGCTTTACAGCAGCCCTCCGCCTCGCCTGCCTGCTGCACGTTGGGGTTTGACGTGTGTTTCGGGATCAACAGGCAGCGAGGAGTAAATCTGCGCTCAGGATACGTGCTGGGTGCCCTGATTTCACCGCCGGACTGGGATGAACTGGTGAGCTGGGGCTCAAGTTGAGAGTTGTGCTCCAGCGGGGACTTAGTGCACCCGAAAAGGCGGCAGCTCCGTCTTCTGGGTGCCCCAGCGGGATCGGCTGCGGTTTATGGGGGGTGGGATCGGGGACTGGCTGGACCCTGCACACCCCGGATAAGGATGGGGACCGGTTTGCATCACTCCCGGATCCGTGCGTAGAGGAGGCCTGGGCTCCAGCCCGGTCAGCAGAGGAATCTGCACACGCAGACAGGATCGCTGCAATTGCTGGTGGCTGAGTGAGCAACTTTGCAGGCTTCCTCGTCCCCTCGCCCTGAATGTCAGCTTTGAATTTTCTTGCTATTTTTAGGGACGGTTCAAAAAAAACGAGGAGGATCCCTCCCTTCTCGCCTTGCAGGGCTTTGCGCCGTATGAATATTGCAAGGCTGTGTATCGCTGTGGGCGCAGGGGGGAGCGGGACGGAGGGACGGGGCAGCTCTCCCGCACGGGCAGGGAGAGAAGGAGGTCGTGTAAAAAAACATGACGTTGCAAGCAGAATGGGTTAGAATTGTAAAAGATTTATTAATTTAATCCGAAGCATTAAAAGGTCATGTATTAATCAAAGAGATGCTTAAAACTGTCAAAGTCCTTTGTCGGGTTTGAAGTGCATCTCTATAGTTATCATAAAATATATATATCAGCCTGGCATGGAGCCCTCGGCAGGGCTGGGAGTGAGGATGAGGAGCAAAGTGAGGCACCTTGCAGCGGGGTCCCTGCGGAGGGGCACCCACACTGCGGCCCTGCCAGGCTCCCATGGGTGCCCAGCACCCCCAGGCTGAGCTGGGTGCCTTGCGGGTCACCCCTCTTGTCCCCAAGCCTGGGTTTGTCCCCCCCAAAGTCAGGCTTGCGCCCCGCGGTTGGTCCCAGCTCAGCTGCACGGGGTGGTTTGGGTTTGGTGTGGAGATGGGGGCGATGGGTTGGGGAGAGGGGTGCCCCCCTCACCCCCAGTTCCTGCCAGTGGGCAGGGGTGGCTCCTGGCCGTGGCAAGGGGCATTGGGGTGGGGGAGCTGTGCCCACGCCACCCGTGTCACAACTCTGCGGGTGCTCAGCCCCGCCGGCATCTCTTTTTAGAGGGGGAGGTGTGTGGCGGAGGCGGGTCCCCAGGGCCACCCGGGTCACCCGGACACCCTGTCCCCTCTCCCCGCCAAGTGCTGTGTCAGCAGCGTTGGCGTGGACTTACGCTACCATCTAGTGGCTGCTTTGCCGAGCCGGGGCCACCGCTGTCCCCGGCTCCCAGCCCGTGGCCCTGCACCCCGCGGGCGGCTGCCCCGGGGGTCCAAACCCCCTTTCCTCAAACCAGTGGGGCAAGGGCACCCCCTCACCATCACCCTCGCCAGGATCAGGTTTGTCCCCCGAGAGCTCAGGTTGGTTTGGCTGGATGGTGGTGGCAGTCGGCACCCCGAAAGCCACCAGCTCCCCCCACCCCCCGGGGTGCGAGCAGGGGCTTTGGAGGTAGTGGGGTGCGGTGGGGGAGAACTGGGGTGCACGGGCATAGGAGGGGGGCGAGGGGGACAGCAAAAGGTGCACGAGGCATTGCTGGGATGCTGGTGCTGCCTTTGTGAAGAGCATGGTCCAGACACCCCGACTGGGTTTGGGGGGATCCTGCCCCTCCAGTGCCTGTGGAGGATTGAGGCCAGGCAGATTTCACCTTGATAAATGCAACTGCAGCAGGAGAGGCCCATCCATCCCTGAATTCCAGCCCGTGCTGCCCTGGAGCTGCAGCAAAACCATCCCAGATTTCTCCCCAGTGAAACCGTTCTGGACCAGCCCCGCACAGCCCTGGAGAAGATCAAGGCTCCCGCTGCCACGTCTCTGTGCTGTGACCTAACCGTCCCCACGCCTTGCTTCACCCAAGAAACCTCCGTCCCCACATCCTGCTGCTCCCCGGTTGCTCTCACAGATGCTGCTGTGGCCGGCACATGGCCCTTCCCAAATGTCAGTTTTTCTGTGGAAAAATGTGTCCCCTCCCAGTGACTGGGGCTGGGCTGCTGAGTGACTGTAAATAAATCCCTTTGTGCCTCAGTTTCCTCTTTGGGGACACAGTCCCTGCAGGCCTGGACAAGCAGTCCCAAGCCTGGTCAAGCCTAAAACCACATTTTTGGCCACCTTCCACTGTTGTCTGGCCATCGCAGCGCCGCGGCTCTGATCCACGACCCAGGAGCTCCGCGGGCTCTGCCAGTCCTTGGGGAGCTTGGGCCAAAGGGGACGGGGACAGACCCCAGGTCTGGTTTGGGTGGGGATGGCTCCTGCCTGGTCACACGGCTCCCGGCAGCAGCTCCGGGGAGAGGGGACCCCCCCAGGGAGGGTGGCAGTGCCATGGCTCCCTCCTGCCAGGGTCTGCAGCGCCAGCCATCTGCAACGGTCTCACACCTGCGCCCACCGCGCGCTTGGCACCGGGTGGGCACGTTCGCTCCAGAACCCCCCCGCCAGCTCCCGCCGAGGCTGGCAAAGCGCGGGCAGGGCAGCCAGCCGGAGCGGGACCGCGTGGGCCGGGCAAGGGGTGTGCGGGCAGCAGTGGGGGAAAGCAGGTCTGAGGCACGGGGGGAGATGGGGGAGCATCGCGGGGGGGACCCAACGCCGCAACTTCACGCCGGATTCGTCCCTTTGGCTGCAGGCAGGGCGCGGGCAGGAGAGGGGATGCTGAGCTGCTTCTGCCTCCTCTCTGGAAGATGCTGCAGCCAGGGCTCTGCAGCGCTGCCTGCGATGCTGGACTGGTCAGCTGGGAGGGGATGGGGCTAGAGCCCCCCCCAGATCTGGTTGCTGAGCTTTGCCCTCCCCAGCACCCGCAGCCCTGTTCCCTTCAAGCACCCAACCCTAGCTCTGCAGCAAAAACGAGCCCTGCAGCAACTTGGAGGGGGGCCCAGCCTCCTTCCCCCCCTGCCCCCCCCCATCACTCCTTTGGCTGGAGGGACCCCAGAGGTGGGGGGAGGGACACAATCCTGCCCTGGGCTGCTGAGAGCTGAGGGGGGTCTGCAGAGGGTGACCCCGGGAGCGAGCGGGTGGCTGTGCCCCCCCAGCAGCCCTCCCTCCATCCCCGCTCGATGCAGCTCGGCATTAACATAAAATCGATGCCCCCTCCCCTGCCCAGCCTGCGGTCACCCCCGGGCGAAACCCTTTAACCCCTTCGCCCCTGCCTCGGGGCACCCATGATGGGGGAGAGGGAGGAAGGACAGAAGGACAGAGGCCAGGATGGGGGTCCCTCCCTTCAACCCCTTTGCACGGGTCCCTGCGACCTTGGGCCCCGCTCTCTGTCCCCAATAGCTTTCATGACACCAAAGGGGAAAATTGGGGACAGACTACAGTGACATGAGCATGGTCCCGAGGGGATTGCTGCGGCACACAATTGCGTTTAAAAACACGTGGCCAAATCCACACGGGTCCCTGGGGCACGGCACGGCCAGCACAAACCCTCCGGCTCAGCCCTGACCTGCTCCTGCCACCGGCACCGCTGGGGACAAGGGTCCTCGGCTGGAGACACGCCGGGGTGACATCGTTTCCAGTCGGGAGGGCAGGATGTGGCCCAGGCTGCAGGGAGGCAAAAGCGGAGCGTTAGGAGGGCGGCAGTGGGGAGCCCACGCCACCAGCCTGCCCCTCTGCACCAGGCCAAGCGCCGCATTTACATTTTTATTCCTTTTTAAGTGAATTTTGTGCTGGAGGGAATTGCCAGGTTGGCAGCCCAGCAGAGCGAGGGGCTGATCCTGCTCGGTGCAGCCCTGCTGAGCAGCCGGAGCGCGGGGGGATCAGCCCCTCTGACCGCCCGAGCAGGCACGAATGGGCAGGAATCAGGCAGGAACAGGGATCGGGGAGTTGGGGCTGGCATAGCCGGGGCTCAGCACACCGGGGTCTGTCCGGCAGCGTCTGTCAGTCCATCGCGCCAAGGCTGGAGGGGCTGCGTGTGGGTGCAGCGAAGGTGAGGGTGAGCCTTCCTCCCCGGGGGTGCCTGGCTGCACCCTCCTCGGCTCTCTGGCCCTTTGATCTCCCTGGGTGCCCACCGCCACCCCCTCCCCAAGCCTCCACCGAGCCGCTGCAAGCAGAGGCTGCTGCCTGCCCCC